TTCTGGAAATGTTGTTCGTTTGAAGGGGTATCGGTTTCCCTTGAAGGGTACCGATTCCCCTTGCCCATAAATCATATTTTTAACTCGAAAATTACTTCATTTCCTCTCAAACACTTCATATATCATCCCCTTTTTTCTTAACTCTAGTACCACTTAAACCAATCTATTCATTTATTTCATCTTAAACCTCAAATCCTATCTTCCATATGAGATTCAAGAATCATACAATTTTCGATGTGTTTCTAATTCCAATTCTAACACTTCATACTTCTTAATTAGATTGATGACAAGTCAAATTCATCCATAAAACTTCAAAACCATACCATATCAAAATTCATCTTAAAAACTCATATTGCAAATTCCTTCTTAATTCCTTTATCTTATTGTTTAAATCTATAGCTTTCCTTAGCTTATTTAATACCCAAAGAATCAAAACTAAGCTTAAAACTCAAGAATTAACCAACTGAAATTAAACTACCTATTGTAGCTAAGCCCCACGTGAAAGAGAAAGCAAGAAGAAGAAAGCTTCCAGATAGCTCTCTTCCCACGTTTTCACTCTTATAAAAGGGGGAAATATATCTTTTAAAGGAAAAGACCATAATACCCTTAATTTCCTTTAATAATTACTAAATAACCTTCATTATATATTCAAATAATCATTGAATTATTCATTCTCTACTTTAGTCATCAATTCTGAAACTTTTCAATTTAGTCACTAACCCGGTATTGCGGATGTTACAGTTTCATTAAAGGATGTAATGGTTTATTAGTCTCTTACATAAGCTTTCTTTTCAATATTTGTCTAGTGGTTGAAAATATGGATTGTTCGATGATGGTACTCCTTTAAATATTTCGATACCTGTTGTGATGGTTCCAAAATCTGTGGGAGACGACCTTAAAAAAACTATGGCGAACAAGTGTGGTAAGCTCTGACCTCACATGATATTTTTTTCCCCGTTTATTTTTGTTCTTCAGATGCATATGGATCATTTCTAAATTATTGTAAACAAGATATCCTGTTCAAAGAGTGGTTTGTAATGTTCTAGGATGGAATGCAACTATTTGATTAAGCTGTTAAGGCTTAATTGAGTGACTTTAGTGTAAATATATGTCTGTCCTTTTTTTTTGACAAAACATTTTCAAGAAACATTTTATCACCCTTTAATCAGGTAAATAAAGAATTTTTGGTTTAGATATAAATGACGGAATTCATTCCGTTAATATAAGTTTTTCATTTTGCAATTATAAACTTGTAATATAATTTATGGCTTTCTGCTTTTTTCTTGAAAGCAAACTTAAGCTTACATGAACTTTCCCTAGAATAGTATTCTTTTTTTTCTCGAATTTTCAAGCAGGCAGTAATATAACTGGGGATTTAAGAGTAGAATGTCTTAGTAAGAAAGATAATTCAGGTCTGATTTGAATGTGGTTATTTTTAGCAGAGGCTTTGAGGTGCTGGAATTTTCTGCTTGCTAATAATAAGCCAGAGAAAGTTAAGAAAAGAAGTAAATTACAGGTAGAGAGAGTCATATATCTTGAATAGCTATTGCAGGTTGCCCTTCTTCGTGCTTCAGTTTGTATCGTTTTTTTTCCTGAACAAGGTTCATGATTTTAATGTCCATATTTTAGTCCCTCTCTCTTTATTTATTGTATTTTCCTTCTGAAGCCTACAGCCTAATTCTCATTGGGTTTAACCTTGGTTGCTATTATAGGTTCTAGCTCTTTAGTCAAGTTTCACACTTAAGTTCTCTTCTTGAGTTTTTCTTTTGTGTTGGTTCTTATTTGTGGTTCACACTTTCGCTATTTCCCTGGGGCAATAGTCCACACTTGCATTTACAAGGATAATTTTGTCTATATTTTTACATGAAAATAAAAGAGCACTATGGTTTATAGATCTTTTATAACCTGTTGTTCGTCTTTGCGTGTTGGTTTTAGCTTTGGGTATATTTAAATGAAAAATCCTGAATCTTTTAGGTTTATTTTAATATGAAGATTCATGTAAACCAATCATGCTAGTTTTTTGATGCAGTTGAACTCTTATATATGCACCAACTCGTTCCATCGTGGATGCCTCAGTGGTATTTTGTGGGCAATGTCTGTTGGCACTCTTATTACTGCTTCACTTTGGCAAGAGTTTGGAACTTCAGAGCAACCTGATCAACACTGTGACGAATCATCACTGAAGGTTGCCACAATCTAGTGCTATCATTATATGAAGTTCATAGTTGCATTTTGTATATTTATGTGTCCTAGAGATATTTGTTGATAGGGAATAATTGGTTATAATGTGCTTGACTAACATGTCTCTATTGGTGCTCATAATCAACTTGTGCTGTTTTAAAGTTTAGGTGATTTTGTATAACAGTTTTTTATCCAAAGTATGTTCGTAGAGGTCCTCAGTTACTGTTCTCTCTGATTGGTTTGTGGCCTCCTAGACGTCATACACTTAGATTTTTCTTTTTCTAGATATTTTTATATTATCCAATGAGTTGATGTTCATGATTAGCATCCTTACAGTTTCTACTTCCTCATATCTACAATGACAATTTGATGGGTTGAATGGTGTTCGTTCCATTGTTGCATATTAAATGTTTTCTGTTCAACACATGACACTGTAATGAGATCTATTTGAGCTATGGTCCTTTGCCAGGAATTAGGAGAATATATATGCAATTGATGCTACACCATCATCCTTATTTTATGCAAAGCTTTCTTTAAAAGTTCTGAATTTGAACAGATGAAGCACGGTTCAAAATGTAATTTATATATGAAATGGCCTCAGCAGTTCTGTAAGTTTTAACTATTGAAATTCTTTTGATACATCTAACTCAATAACTAATTACTTCTAAATGTAATTTATATATGAAATATCTTATTTTATGTTATATTATGTGGGTATGATAGATGGTTAACTTGTCTCCCTGTAAGCAATTACCCTGAAACTTTTGGACATGTTACTCATAAATTACATCAAAAGACCTTAGATGCTTGTAGAATTTCAGTTCTCATTCATCTAACCTCAGCACTTTCAAAGAAAACTGGTTTATTGTTACTTGTATTTCTTGTGTGTGAAGAAACCATATCCGTTTTATGTTAGTTTCTCCCTTCCTTATATTAGTATATCTGAATCTTCAGTTTCTTTTTGTTTCTATGATTTTAGCATCACGTCTGATTATTGGAGGAATTTAAGTGATCTTTTTCCTTCTGTTGCCTTAGGAACCATCCAATACTGGAACAGGGAGTGGTGGTGATAAGGAAACCCTTGATATTACTGTAAAGGGTGCAATAATTTTTGTGATATTAGCATGTTTTTTCTGTGCTACTCTTCTTTTTCATGTGGCATGGTTTCTCTGGGTGCTGATTGTACTCTTCTGCATCGGTGGTGTTCAGGTACCATAGTTTTGCTTCTAATTTCTTTGTTTTCCCTTATGTTTCTTTTTATCACTTTATGCTTGTATGCTTGTTGACTCTACCGATGGTCAGACATGGCATGTTAAAAGTAAACTACACCTCTAAGTATTGGTTTGTCCCTGTTTTCTTACATTTTTTTACTCGCTGTTTGCAAAATGGAAATACAATGCAGAAAATATTAGCACCTCCAAAATATATATCCATAGCTAATAAATACAAGTGTTTTAAGAAATGCTTGAGTGATAGGTTTAATGTTGTACTTCTGCATGCTTCTGTGGGAACCATGCATATGAACGGTATTGAAATAGCTATTTTTTCCTTTTGGTATTAAAAAATTAGCTATATATACATTCATAGTGATATATTATCTTATTAACCCTTGTGTATTTTTGTATCCAGGGGATACACACAGTCATTATGACTCCTATAGAAAGGTATGCTTATAACTTTGATTATCGCTACCAAACCTGTCAAATAGTTGTTTTACAAGATTTAATCCTCTATTTTAATCCTTAGCAAAAATAAAAATTCTATTTAATCCTCTAAAAAATTATTAGTCTAAGTTAATTTTGTTTAACACAGTTATTAGTTTTGGTCTCCATAAATTTTATAATTTCATCTCAATCTTCCAAACTTAACATTCTAACTTCACCATTACCTAAAGAGGTAAATTTATCTTTTCCTTTTCAAGATATTTTATATTTGAAAGATCTTTAATCATAATTCCTTATTCTCATATCCAAATATAATATTAAATACAAATATAGATAATAAGTGGTTTAGAAAAATAAATAAAGAATTAAGAGTAATATATTTCTCGATGAAACCGTACATTCAAAAGGATAGTTATTTGAAGTCATTAAACGGTTTCAGTAGTTAAAAAGGGTTTCATTAGTTAAAAAGGGTGTTGTTCTTTCTGAGATTCTGATTAACATCTATATTTATAGGTATATATGCATTGTCAATGATTAAGAAAGATTCTAAATAAATATATCTTATAAATTATAATCATTCTAAAGTATTTAAAAAAATAATCCTTTATTAAAAAAGTATATGTTTATGCTTTTAAATTTTATAAGTTTATTTATATTGTTTTTGTTCTATTTTTTCAAAAAAAAAGTATTTTTTACGTCATTTATATATAAAATATGAGATTTGAAAATAAAGATAAAATCATTCAAGGACTTTCTAGGATATGAATGTTTTTTTTAGAGAAATTTAAATAAACACATATCATACCCATTTTTTAGAGTTTAGGAGTTTGATCTTACTGTATATTAATAACTTTATATCAGAATGCATGTTTACGATTTTACTTTTAAAACTAACACTTAAATAACGATACCCATCAAGTGGCCTCACTGGTTAAAATGATTGTTGTTCTTTCTAGAGGTTTTAAGTTCAAGTAGCTCAGTCTGCAGGATGTGTGCGTTGTAGATTCTATTGGTTCAAATAAAACTATATATTTCTTAATCTATTTTGAACTCGGGCATGAATATCAAATTTGGATACGTGTCTGATACAGAAAGTTTTGGACATGAAGTTTATGTTATGTTGCAAAAAAACTAAAAATGATCATTGCAGGTTTTAGTGTTACAATGGGCAACAGAGACTATAGCTCTCAAGGCAGTGCTAACGGTAGTCATGGAGTGTCAAGGCTGAAGTCCCAATTGAGTTTCACTAGACAAGATTCTCTTTCTCAGATCTCTGAAGTAACTGAGAATCTTGTTGATGGTGTCAACTCTAACAGTAACCACCAAATGCTGCACATTCATTTGCTGCTGCTGGCTTTGGAATAGATTCATGGGATAATACAAACTCCATTGTGTTTTCTGCCTCACCAAGCAAGAGGGCTAAAAATATCGATGTCGATATTTACAACTGTCTGAATGCCTTGGACACTCAGGTACCATTCATGGAAAAATAACTTAATGGCGCTTGTTTCCCGTGAAAATGAACTTTTAGGAGGCTTTTATTTCTCATTCTTTGCCCAATATGGTTGTTTGCCAAATAAGAGCATGATTTGCAGCTAACAGTAGCGCCATTGATTTAGCTTGTCATCACATGGATGGATATCAAAGTGCTTTACAATCATGCCATTTACTTCTCAGTATTGACCTCATGTTCCCATTTGATCTTGATTTCAGTTTAGCTTGCCCCAAACAACACTTGAGATGGCCACGGTTGAACAACTGCTACATATTCCTGAAGATTCTGTGCCTTGTAAAATCCGAGCCAAGCGTGGCTGTGCGACTCATCCTCGAAGCATTGCTGAAAGAGTAAGTTAAGATTTAAGAGAGGTGCTATAGCTGCTCAGAAATCGAATTGTTTATTGTTAGCAAAATCTAAAGATGTCAGTGAAGGTTCATAAGACCAACCTATAGCCTTTTAGAATAGCCAGTTCTATCAAGCTGCAAGTTCTGTCTCAGAAAGTTCAACTTTCTTATATGCCTTGCACATATGGAAAATTTTTCAGGCATATCAACTGTTGTCGGTGCTGTGGTTTAGGATGCATCCATGTGTCCTTTTTTGTTATTGTTTCTTTGTAGGTAAAATACACAAATGATCCCCATTATAGGGTGATATTTGTTTATCCCCCAACTATTTGAAAATACAAAATGGTCCCTCGATTATAGGGCATTGCTTAGTTGAGTCTCCTAACTATTAAAAATTACAAAATGGTCATCTGACTATTCATATGTTCCAAGCTCGTTATTTTCCGTTAAAAGATAGACTACAGTCTGAGCTGAACATTAACCTGTTGAATGGGATATGATAAAATCTGATCTTAAAATCTCAAAAGACTATCATATCTCAGTTAGCATATTAACGTCCAACCCATACGACTGCCAATTTTTTAACGAAAAATGACGAGTTTGGAACATATGAATAGCCAGGTGACCATTTGTCACTTTAATAGTCAGGGGACTCAACAAAGTAAGGTCGGAGATCATCCGTGTACTTTACCGTTCTTTGTACCGGACACATGGATGTATCCTGAATTCGCTTGTGGAATTTTTTTCATTCCACTCTGTGCATAGAATACTTATTCTGTATCTACTTCACGGTATGTAATACACAGTACAGTTGGTTATTAACATGCAAGAGGAAAGCGTATCAATATGCATTAATCCTCTAAAGAATGATAAATAAAATCGAGCATCATTAAAACTTCATATATGTGTACAGGAGAGAAGAACAAGAATAAGTGGGAAGCTGAAGAAATTACAGGAGCTTGTTCCTAACATGGATAAGGTAATCACATATATATTTCTATTCTAGTCCTTGTATTGAATCTATATATATGTTGCTTCAAATCATTCATTACCTTGTGAAGGTTTTGAAGCTAGCTTGAAAAAAAGGTCCAAAATTTTATTTCAAATAAAAAATGACATATCTTTAAAATCTTCTTGCAGCAAACAAGCTACGCAGATATGCTGGACTTGGCTGTGCAGCATATTAAAGGTCTTCAAAATGAAGTTCAGGTTTGTAAATATGTCATGCTGAGTTTCAAACATCATCATTATGATCCTCCTTCACATGATAGATTGCATTTTTGCAGTGGTAGTGACATCGAATCTATCTATGATATGCATGTGCATGGTAGAGTACATTCAATTTAACTTCTCTTGGCCAAAAAAGTATCTTCAAGGCTTGGAATCCAAGCAGGGACGAAACTATGCGGGGATTGAGAGAGACAGAGATGGACCGAAGGGACGACCCCTAAAAATTTTAAATTTATATATATTTTAGATATTTTCTTTTTATAAATTCGTCCCCCTTAAAATTTCATAAGTTGTCCCTCTTATCATAAAATTACAGGTCTGTCCTTGAAGAGAATTTCCCCCACCATAACTTTTATAGTTATTAAGTTTGTTTTTTGAAGTTAGATATTCTGGGATGATTACAAGGTAGTATTCGTTCAGAATTTTTCTTAGCCTATTGACAACTCTCATGCATTCACGTAGCTGCTCAAACTCGGGTTTTCCAGATAGAACAATATCTCCTTTTACCACACTAAGTTCAATCAATGGGTTAAAAAGTCATTGAATCAAAGTGGATAATAACGTTAAGTATAAGCATTCTCCAAATCAAGTTGTCCTAAATTTGGGGTCAGTTGTAAACTACTTTGCCTTTAGAATATGTTTAAAATGGCTTTCAACTCCAACATGTGTTTTCTTCGAGTTTATGTTTAACATTTATAACTCTCCCTTTGCAGAAACTCCACAAAGAATTGGAAACCTGTACATGCGGGTGCAAACAAAGCTTATGATGTTTGCTAAACAGGTTTAAGGAAACAAAGAACTTGTCTAATTTCCCAGTTTTGAAGCCAATACCAATTTAGCTTGCTTAGCTCGACTTAATAATGGAAAAAGTAGAGGGAAAAACTCGAAAATGTATATAAATGGACTGACATTGTTTCCCTTGTTTGAGAAGTTATTGAATTGGAAAATGGGGAAAAAAGGCAAATTGTTCCAAATTCCTTTATTAAAATTATGTGTCTGTCAAATAACATATGTTTTGGTTAAGAGTTCGAGTTGACATGTTTTCCCTGTTAAATTTCAGTGTCTGTCATGTAACATATATTTTGGCATTTATATTTTAGTTGGGAATGAAGAATTCTGTTGACATGTTTGGGTATTTGATTTGATATTTAGGGTTTATTTATATACATCTGTAGTGGTTTCCTTTTCGGTGTAGAAAGGTTGCAATTTAGGATTGGGGAAGGTTAAATGAAACTGCAATAATTTGAATTTCGTAATGTAATATCTGATCAAACATAACTTTAATTATTGATATTAAACATTTATATTCTTAGAACTCATGATGTTCAAATTCGAGACCTCAACGAATAACAATTTTTTTATCACCACCGAAATCGTTGAATCAATCGATTAAAATTATTGCATGATATAATTTGATTAAAATCAATTGATTAAAATTATTGCATTACATAATTTGATTGGTATTTTTTTCATTTTATGAGAGATGTTAAAAATAAAACAATTAAAATAATATTTGGAAATTTTTTGGACAACTTGGTTGCCATACCCAACGGTCAACACCGAACCTGCCACTTTAATTACAAACAGAACGTGTTTCCCTCTAAAGTAATCGAAGAGAGAGAGAGAGAGAAATAAATAAATTTAGCTTACATAGAAAAAAGATATTTTTTTCCTTCTTCAATGCATTCTCATCATGGTTTTAAGAATCAGATCGATTAGCGAATCGGTCATGTTATCGGTTCACTGATTTAATCGGTCGAATCGGTCTGACCGGTCGGAAGAACCGAACGACGTCATAATAATTAAAAAATTAAATAAAAATACCAAAAATATTTAATAAAAAATAATTTTGTATATCACAAGTCATATTCAAAGCAAGTCATAACATATATGAGTTAAAAACCATAAAATCAAGTGAAACAAAATGATTCAAATTAACTACAACATAATATTTAAGGTAAAACATATTAAATAATAAATATAATTATATAACTATAATTAAAAAATAAATTTGGGGCTAAAAAAATCATAATAAAATGATATTGTTTAGTTTAATTTTTTTTAAAAACAATCTCACATGGCTAAGAAACATAGAAGAACATCTCAAAAGTGAGTAAAAATATGAGAACAAAACAATCCCACATGGCTAAGAAACATAGAAGAGCATCCCAACTAACGTCTATAAATAATAGAGGTAATTTGACATTCAAAATCATAGAGACTTTTGGTGAGCATAAAGTGAACTATTTTTTCACTTCAATCAAACTCGAATTTTAGGCTTCAATCGAGCTTCTAATTTTTTTTTAGTTCAAGCCTTTTCGAGTTCAAGTTTCAATATTATATTTCGAATTCGAGTTGAACTTGATAATTTTTAGTCCGTGAGTTTGAGTCGAGTTGAGCTTACTTTTAAAGTTTGAGTCGAGCTCAGCAATACTCGAGTTCGACTTGGCTCGTTTAACAAACGACGTCGTTTGGTTTATTTTTTAAAAAAAAAAAACAAAATTGGCGGTTTTTCCCAGTTTTCAGCCGGTCTGGTTCGAACGGTTCAACGGTTCTGGCCGGTTCACTAGAAGCGGTTCAACCGATTTAGTTTGAACCGGACTAGGCAACGATTACCGGTTGAACCGACTGATCCGGTCCGATTTGATTTTCAAAACAATGATTCTCATGCATCGATTTTCTTTAACAAAGAGAAAGTGAAAGTGGAAGAATTTATTAATTCCCTTTTTCATGGATCAATATTTGCCACACCACCATGTCGTTTTCTCCGCCAAATCGATGTCGGATCCCAGCGGCTCTTTCATTTTTACTTTTTATCGTTTTATCATTTGTTGTTACTGTCTTCGTTGTATCACCTTCATGTAACAATGCTATCGAATCAGTAATTTTGTTTGTCATCTCCTTTTTTTGAAAAAAATAGTAAAGTACACAAATGATCCCTCGAATATAAATATTTTTTATTAAGTCTCTCAACTATTAAAAGTTACAAGATGATCCTCTGACTATAGAATGTTGCTTTGTTAAATCCCTTAATTATTAAAAGTTACAAAATGATCACTCGACTATTCATTATATTTCAAACTCGTTCTTTTTTTGTTAAAAGGTTGACGGTTGTCTAAGTTGGAAGTTAACATGATGACTAAGATATGATAGTCGTTTGAGATTTTGGGATAAGATTTTATCATATAACAGTCAACATGTTAACATTCAGCTCAAAATATCGTCAACTTTTAATGGAAAATGATAAGTTTGGAACATAATAAATAGTTAAATGATCATTTTATAACTTTTAATAGTCTAGTGACTCAATAAAGTAACACTCTAACTTTTAAAGTTAAAGGACTTAACAAAACAATATTTTATAGTCAATGGACCATTTATGTACTTTACCCAAAAAATATTATTGGCATTTACATCATTGGTAAATGCTCTTGCTTTGTGTTTTATTAAAGGGTAAAGTACACAAGTTGTCCTTCGATTATGGGCAATATTTGTTAAGTTCATCGAATATTATAAGTTACAAAATGATCTTTTATTATAGATCGTTGTTTTGTTGAGTCCCTCGATTATTAAAAGTTATAAATGGTCACACGACTATTCATATTTTTCAATTTCTGTTAAAAATTTAACTACGATCTGAGATATATGTTAACATGTTGATTGAGATATAATAAAGTATGATCCTAGAATCTTAAAAGATTATCATATCTCAGTTAGCATGTTAACGTCCAACTCAATCGACCGTCAATCTTTTAACAAAAAAATGAAGAGTTTAGAACATATGAATAGTCAGGTGACCATTTTGTAACTTTCAATAGTCGAAGAACTTAACAAAGTAATATCTTATAATTGAGAGATCATTTATAACTTTTAATAGTCGGGTAGTTCAATAAAACAACATCATAGTTGGGATCATTTGTGTAGTCAACCCTCTATTAAATTGCACTTGATTTAATAGCTCGAAGCACTGGTCAGAGTTTAAATTCTGAGCAAACAGGGTTAGGAGGTCACGCCGTAAGGAGTCTCTCCAAAACCCAATTTGGAAATTAATGTTGGTGTGGATAGATAGATTATGTTATTGATTTCCGTAGGATTTGTCGTGGACAATGGGGATATTTGTTGCTACCAACTTGCGTTGTTGGTTGTGAATTAGGCAAATTATTACAAAAGTTATTCTCGGTAAAACAATTCAGATGATATGTTAATAGTGTGTGTTTGCCCTATTTCCTTAATAATTCAGTTCAAATCTTGCAGGCCATGGTGAGGATATGGATTGATGGTGATGAAGGTGAATATATGACTGGGTTAACGGCAAGCTTTGGAGCGAAATTGGCCGAGGAAAAAGACAAAAGTCCCAAATCGACTCCTGTTTTCTCAAATCCCCTAACTGGCTGTTCTACTACTTCTTCTTCAAAGGTTTTGTCTCAATTTACTGTCTTCTCTCAATTTTTTCAACTTTCTTCTCCAATAACTGTTTGGCATTGTTTATTTATTATTATGAGTTAAGTGCATCCTTGTTTGATTGAGTTAAACATGTGGAAGAGATGACAATTTACTAAACTTTGAATAATTCTTAATAGTTTCATAAGCACTACCCTCTGATGTAAGCCGAATGAAAATTTTTAAAACATCACGGACAGAATATTTTGATTACAGCTATCTGGCGCTGTGGCCTTGTCTAAACGTGGTGATTGTGACTTTGTAACTAAGGCCAAAGTTGCAGTCAGGAGGTGCTGCAGCCTTGCTGGTGATAATGACAAAGAAGGTTATAAATTTTGTATTTTAAACTTATTTTGAACTTCAATTGGATCGTTTCTGTAACACCCCAACCCGTACCCGACCCGGATACGAGTCCGAAGTGTCACATTGACTTTTCAAACTTTGATTCTTGACAAAATTCAAAGAAAATTTAAAACTTTCCTTAGAGTAAAAGCAATTTAGTTACGTAATTTGACCACAATAACCAAAATCGTTCAGAGCATATTTAACTCAATTAATTAGTACATGCCAACTATATTCAAAATAACAAAAATCAATTAACTCATCTATTTTCTGATCTGAAATCTTGTAAGGGAGATGCTGACCTGTGCTACTCTTCACAGCTTCCATAATCACTTTCTGTAACCTGCGTGTGAAACACTCACACGCTAAATCGATGACTTAGTGAGGCATAAAGAAAACACATCTAATGGAATTCATACCCACTAATCATGCATGACTGTTTTATGCTATCAAATTATACAACTCATTTACATATATTCATGTATATTATGTAACAGATACCATAACCCCTATCACACATATATCATATCATGCACACATCATATCACCAATCATATACATATATCACATACATTGTTCTCATATCACCAAGACATATATGCACTTCTACCCTGTCACGAGAAATACACATATCATTATATCAAATTATGTTCTCTTTTCAAAGCCCATGTACACATGTGAGAACTATAGATATGTGAGTCTATAGAGGTTGTGCACTATGCTGTCACCACAGCTCATATAATTGCACCGAAGTGCCACGTAGAATTGCACCGGAGTGCCGCGTAGAATTACACCGTAGTGCCATATAATAATGTCCATAAGGACTACATATCATTCCTTAAGAATCATATACATATACTAGGGATCAAGTATGTGTCTCACCAGACTTCACACATGTTCCAAAGAATACATATATGTCCCGAAGGACCGCGTAGACCCTCAACTCTTGGCATGCCAACTATACCCCTAGCTCTCAAGACACATAACATGGGCATTTTCTTTTATACTTATCATTTCACATAACACATAGTTCAATTACTCATAGAATATTTTCATATGAGTCACATTTACATGTCACATAGCTTATATACTTTCTCACGTAGTTCCATAGATCCATATCACATAACATATATCCCAAAGTGCACATAATCATATATATATCATATAGCTTAGATCATTTCTCAGATATTCATATAAACATACATATCATATCTTGTTCACATATGATCATATATGCTTCATATAACACATAGAAACACCTAGAACACTTTCTCATAGCTTATATCAATTTTCAGAGTCCTTTCATATTACCTGATGATATATATCATATAGATATATAATAACGGATATCATATTATCTACCTTATGCTCCATTTCTTTGTGTTCCCTTAGATTATAAATTATGTCGTATTTCTAAACATATATCATTTAATAGTATTTTTATTTAGGTACTAATTTAATCTCTTTACTTAATTCAATTTCATATATTCATTATAATCTTTTCATATAGCTCCATTATACTAATTCTCATAATAAATCATACCACTATGTACTTGTCCAACTCATGTTTCCATTATGCATATACTGTTACCCATGTTTACCTAGTTCATATCACTTCTATAAACTCACTTTCATCATATTTTCCTATTATTACATATTTTATCTCATAACCATGTATCCACATAATCTTATATTTCATTATCATATTACATATATTTGTTCTCCTATGACTCTTAATAAACATCTATTTATATTTCCCTACATCTCTCGACTTATCTTCTATATTCCTATAATTTCATAACTTATTTTATATCATTTTCCCTTTTATTCACATAAACCATCTATTTATTTAGTTCAATTTCTCATGACTTCCACAATACTCTTTAATAAAACTTTGTAGCTCTTCACTTTAATACATAAACCATAGTTTCCTTTAATTTATCAATCTTCTCTATATAACTTATGTATCCTTATTTATGCCCTCGAATTCATACTATTCTCTTAGAGTCTCATAACATTTCTCGTATAATCACTTATACCTTATCATATGACTTATACTTGATTATCTTATTCTCTCATGTTCATTTCATTTCTTATAACTCTATCATATAACTTATTCCATGTTCTTCCATTATTACCTAATAAAATCTTACATAAATCATATATCATATACAAAGCATATTATTATCTTTAGTCATGCATACATACAATCAATGTAATACATATAATCACATATAGTTATAACCAACACATAATCATGTCTATGACTTCATGCATATTACTCTAGGAAATAGACTCATCGCAAGTCTTATTTCCATTAAACACTACATGTCACTAGTATGCACTCACCTTGGCCTCACTAGTCAATTCCAATATCTTATCTTTCCCTTGATCGATCTTACTTGCCAAATGTTCCGGAATTGCTTTATGCGCAGAATCTACATAAATGTACATTTTGAGGCAATCATTAGATACCTACACCTTGTAGTTGGATACTAGCAACTTAAACGAACTTATTAAACCAATATTTACAATTTTCCTTTAGGGGGAATCGGTTCCCTACTATGGGGGTATCGATTCCCTCATGACATTCTGGAAATGTTGTTCGTTTGAAGGGGTATCGGTTCCCCTTGAATGGGTACCGATTCCCCTTGCCCATAAATCATATTTTTAACTCGAAAATTACTTCATTTCCTCTCAAACACTTCATATATCACCCTTTTCATTCTTAACTCTAGTACACATACTTAAACCAATCTATATTCATTTATTTCATCTTAAACCTCAAAATCCTATCTTCCATATGAGATTCAAGAATCATACCAAATTTTCGATGTGTTCTAATTCCAATTCTAACACTTCATACTTCTTAATTAGATTGATGACAAGTCAAATTCATCCATAAAACTTCAACAACCATACCATATCAAAATTTCATCTTAAAACTCATATTGCAAATTCCTTCTTAATTCCTTTATCTTATTGTTTAAATCTCATATAAGCTTTCCTTAAGCTTATTTAATACCCAAAGAATCAAAACTAAGCTTAAAACTCAAGAATTAACCAACTGAAATTAAACTTACCTATTGTAGCTAAGCCCCACGTGAAGAAGAGAAAGCAAGAAGAAGAAAGCTTCCAGATAGCTCTCTTCCCACGTTTTTCACTCTTATAAAAGGGGGAAGAATATCTTTTAAAGGAAAAGACCATAATACCCTTAATTTCCTTTAATAATTACTAAATAACCTTCATTATATATTCAAATAATCATTGAATTATTCATTCTTCTACTTTAGTCATCAAATTCTGAAACTTTTCAATTTAGTCACTAACCCGGTATTGCGGATGTTACAGTTTCATTAAAGGAATGTAATGGTTTATTAGTCTCTTACATAAGCTTTCTTTTCAATATTTGTCTAGTGGTTGAAAATATGGATTGTTCTGATGATGGTACTCCTTTAAATATTTCGATACCTGTTGTGATGGTTCCAAAATCTGTGGGAGACGACCTTAAAAAAACTATGGCGAACAAGTGTGGTAAGCTCTTGACCTCACATGATATTTTTTTCCCCGTTTATTTTTGTTCTTCAGATGCATATGGGATCATTTCTAAATTATTGTAAACAAGATATCCTGTTCAAAGAGTGGTTTGTAATGTTCTAGGATGGAATGCAACTATTTGATTAAGCTGTTAAGGCTTAATTGAGTGACTTTAGTGTAAATATATGTCTGTCCTTTTTTTGACAAAACATTTTCAAGAAACATTTTATCACCCTTTAATCAGGTAAATAAAGAATTTTAATGGTTTAGATATAAATGACGGAATTCATTCCATTAATATAAGTTTTCATTTTGCAATTATAAACTTGTAATATAAGAATTTATGGCTTTCTGCTTTTTTCTTGAAAGCAAACTTAAGCTTTACATGAACTTTCCCTAGAATAGTATTCTTTTTTTTTCTCGAATTTTCAAGCAGGCAGTAATATAACTGGGGATTTAAGAGTAGAATGTCTTAGTAAGAAAGATAATTCAGGTCTGATTTGAATGTGGTTATTTTTTAGCAGAGGCTTTGAGGTGCTGGAATTTTCTGCTTGCTAATAATTAAGCCAGAGAAAGTTAAGAAAAGAAGTAAATTACAGGTAGAGAGAGTCATATATCTTGAATAGCTATTGCAGGTTGCCCTTCTTCGTGCTTCAGTTTGTATCGTTTTTTTCCTGAACAAGGTTCATGATTTTAATGTCCATATATTTATAGTCCCTCTCTCTTTATTTTATTGTATTTTCCTTCTGAAGCCCTACAGCCTAATTCCTCATTGGGTTTAACCTTGGTTGCTATTATAGGTTCTAGCTCTTAGTCAAGTTTCACACTTAAGTTCTCTTCTTGAGGTTTTCTTTTGTGTTGGTTCTTTATTTGTGGTTCACACTTTCGCTATTTCCCTGGGGCAATAGTCCACACTTGCATTTACAAGGATAAAATTTTGTCTATATATTTTACATGAAAATAAAAGAGCACTATGGTTTATTAGATCTTTTATAACCTGTTGTTCGTCTTTGCGTGTTGGTTTTAGCTTTGGGTATATTTAAATGAAAAATCCTTGAATCTTTTAGGTTTATTTTAATATGAAGATTCATGTAAACCAAATCATGCTAGTTTTTGATGCAGTTGAACTCTTAATATATGCACCAACTCGTTCCATCGTGGATGCCTCAGTGGTATTTTTGTGGGCAATGTCTGTTGGCACTCTTATTACTGCTTCACTTTGGCAAGAGTTTGGAACTTCAGAGCAACCTGATCAACACTGTGACGAATCATCACTGAAGGTTTGCCACAATCTAGTGCTATCATTATATGAAGTTCATAGTTGCATTTTGTATATTTATGTGTCCTAGAGATATTTGTTGATAGGGAATAATTGGTTATAATGTGCTTGACTAACATGTTCTCTATTGGTGCTCATAATCAACTTGTGCTGTTTTTAAAGTTTAGGTGATTATTTGTATAACAGTTTTTTATCCAAAGTATGTTCGTAGAGGTCCTCAGTTACTGTTCTCTCTGATTGGTTTGTGGCCTCCTAGACGTCATACACTTAGATTTTTCTTTTTCTAGATATTTTTATATTATCCAATGAGTTGATGTTCATGATTAGCATCCTTACAGTTTCTACTTCCTCATATATCTACAATGACAATTTGATGGGTTGAATGGTGTTCGTTCCATTGTTGCAATTAAATGTTTTCTGTTCACACATGACACTGTAATGAGATCTATTTGAGCTATGGTCCTTTGCCAGGAATTAGGAGAATATATATGCAATTGATGCTACACCATCAATCCTTATTTTATGCAAAGCTTTCTTTAAAAGTTCTGAATTTGAACAGATGAAGCACGGTTCAAAATGTAATTTATATATGAAATGGCCTCAGCAGTTCTGTAAGTTTTAACTATTGAAATTCTTTTTGATACATCTAACTCAATAACTAATTACTTCTAAATGTAATTTATATATGAAATATCTTATTTTATGTTATATTATGTGGGTATGATAGATGGTTAACTTGTCTCCCTGTAAGCAATTACCCCTGAAACTTTTGGACATGTTACTCATAAATTACATCAAAAGACCTTAGATGCTTGTAGAATTTCAGTTCTCATTCATCTAACCTCAGCACTTTCAAAGAAAACTGGTTTATTGTTACTTGTATTTCTTGTGTGTGAAGAAACCATATCCGTTTTATGTTAGTTTCTCCCTTCCTTATATTAGTATATCTGAATCTTCAGTTTCTTTTTGTTTCTATGATTTTAGCATCACGTCTGATTATTGGAGGAATTTAAGTGATATCTTTTTCCTTCTGTTGCCTTAGGAACCATCCAATACTGGAACAGGGAGTGGTGGTGATAAGGAAACCCTTGATATTACTGTAAAGGGTGCAATAATTTTTGTGATATTAGCATCTGTTTTTCTGTTGCTACTCTTCTTTTTCATGTGGCATGGTTTCTCTGGGTGCTGATTGTACTCTTCTGCATCGGTGGTGTTCAGGTACCATAGTTTTGCTTCTAATTTCTTTGTTTTCCCTTATGTTTTCTTTTTATCACTTTATGCTTGTATGCTTGTTGACTCTACCGATGGTCAGACATGGCATGTTAAAAGTAAACTACACCTCTAAGTTATTGGTTTGTCCCTGTTTTCTTACATTTTTTTACTCGCTGTTTGCAAAATGGAAATACAATGCAGAAAATATTAGCACCTCCAAATATATATATCCATAGCTAATAAATACATACAAGTGTTTTTAAGAAATGCTTGAGTGATAGGTTTAATGTTGTACTTCTGCATGCTTCTGTGGGAACCATGCATATGAACGGTATTGAAATAGCTATTTTTTTCCTTTTGGTATTAAAAAATTAGCTATATATATACATTTCATAGTGATATATTATCTTATTAACCCTTGTGTATTTTTTTGTATCCAGGGGATACACACAGTCATTATGACTCCTATAGAAAGGTATGCTTATAACTTTGATTATCGCTACCAAACCTGTCAAATAGTTGTTTTACAAGATTTAATCCTCTATTTTAATCCTTAGCAAAAATAAAAATTCTATTTTAATCCTCTAAAAAATTATTAGTCTAAGTTAATTTTGTTTAACACAGTTATTAGTTTTGGTCTCCATAAATTTTATAATTTCATCTCAATCTTCCAAACTTAACATTCTAACTTCACCATTACCTAAAGAGGTAAATTTATCTTTTCCTTTTCAAGATATTTTATATATTTGAAAGATCTTTAATCATAATTCCTTATTCTCATATCCAAATATAATATTAAATACAAATATAGATAATAAGTGGTTTAGAAAAATAAATAAAGAATTAAGAGTAATATATTTCTCGATGAAACCGTACATTCAAAAGGATAGTTATTTGAAGTCATTAAACGGTTTCAGTAGTTAAAAAAGGGTTTCATTAGTTAAAAAGGGTGTTGTTCTTTCTGAGATTCTGATTAACATCTATATTTATAGGTATATATGCATTGTCAATGATTAAGAAAGATTCTAAATAAATATATCTTATAAATTATAATCATTCTAAAGTATTTTAAAAAAAATAATCCTTTATTAAAAAAGTTATATGTTTATGCTTTTAAATTTTATAAGTTTATTTTATATTGTTTTTGTTCTATTTTTTCAAAAAAAAAGTATTTTTTACGTCATTTATATATAAAATATCAGATTTGAAAATAAAGATAAAATCATTCAAGGACTTTCTAGGATATGAATGTTTTTTTTAGAGAAATTTAAATAAACACATATCATACCCATTTTTTAGAGTTTAGGAGTTTGATCTTACTGTATATATTAATAACTTTATATCAGAATGCATGTTTACGATTTTACTTTTAAAACTAACACTTAAATAACGATACCCATCAAGTGGCCTCACTGGTTAAAATGATTGTTGTTCTTTCTAGAGGTTTTAAGTTCGAGTAGCTCAGTCTGTAGGATGTGTGCGTTGTAGATTCTATTGGTTCAAATAAACTATATATTTCTTAATCTATTTTGAACTCGGGCATGAATATCAAATTTGGATACGTGTCTGATACAGAAAGTTTTGGACATGAAGTTTATGTTATGTTGCAGAAAAAAACTAAAAAAGATCATTGCAGGTTTTAGTGTTACAATGGGCAACAGAGACTATAGCTCTCAAGGCAGTGCTAACGGTAGTCATGGAGTGTCAAGGCTGAAGTCCCAATTGAGTTTCACTAGACAAGATTCTCTTTCTCAGATCTCTGAAGTAACTGAGAATCTTGTTGATGGTGTCAACTCTAACAGTAACCACCAAAATGCTGCACATTCATTTGCTGCTGCTGGCTTTGGAATAGATTCATGGGATAATACAAACTCCATTGTGTTTTCTGCCTCACCAAGCAAGAGGGCTAAAAATATCGATGTCGATATTTACAACTGTCTGAATGCCTTGGACACTCAGGTACCATTCATGGAAAAATAACTTAATGGCGCTTGTTTCCCGTGAAAATGAACTTTTAGGAGGCTTTTATTTCTCATTCTTTGCCCAATATGGTTGTTTGCCAAATAAGAGCATGATTTGCAGCTAACAGTAGCGCCATTGATTTAGCTTGTCATCACATGGATGGATATCAAAGTGCTTTACAATCATGCCATTTACTTCTCAGTATTGACCTCATATGTTCCCATTTGATCTTGATTTCAGTTTAGCTTGCCCCAAACAACACTTGAGATGGCCACGGTTGAACAGCTGCTACATATTCCTGAAGATTCTGTGCCTTGTAAAATCCGAGCCAAGCGTGGCTGTGCGACTCATCCTCGAAGCATTGCTGAAAGAGTAAGTTAAGATTTAAGAGAGGTTGCTATAGCTGCTCAGAAATCGAATTGTTTATTTTTAGCAAAATCTAAAGATGTCAGTGAAGGTTCATAAGACCAACCTATAGCCTTTTAGAATAGCCAGTTCTATCAAGCTGCAAGTTCTGTCTCAGAAAGTTCAACTTTCTTATATGCCTTGCACATATGGAAAAATTTTCAGGCATATCAACTGTTGTCGGTGCTGTGGTTTAGGATGCATCCATGTGTCCTTTTTTGTTATTGTTCCTTTGTAGGTAAAATACACAAATGATCCCCGACTATAGGGTGATATTTTGTTTATCCCCCAACTATTTGAAAATACAAAATGGTCCCTCGACTATAGGGCATTGCTTAGTTGAGTCTCCTAATTATTAAAAATTACAAAATGGTCATCTGACTATTCATATGTTCCAAGCTCGTTATTTTCCGTTAAAAGATAGACTACAGTCTGAGCTGAACATTAACCTGTTGAATGGGATATGATAAAATCTGATCTTAAAATCTCAAAAGACTATCATATCTCAGTTAGCATATTAACGTCCAACCCATACGACTGCCAATTTTTTAACGAAAAATGACGAGTTTGGAACATATGAATAGCCAGGTGACCATTTTGTCACTTTTAATAGTCAGGGTACTCAACAAAGTAAGGTCGGAGATCATCTGTGTACTTTACCGTTCTTTGTACCGGACACATGGATGTATCCTGAATTCGCTTGTGGAATTTTTTTTCATTCCACTCTGTGCATAGAATACTTATTCTGTATCTACTTCACGGTATGTAATACACAGTTACAGTTGGTTATTAAGATGCAAGAGGAAAGCGTATCAATATGCATTAATCCTCTAAAGAATGATAAATAAAATCGAGCATCATTAAAACTTCATATATGTGTACAGGAGAGAAGAACAAGAATAAGTGGGAAGCTGAAGAAATTACAGGAGCTTGTTCCTAACATGGATAAGGTAATCACATATATATTTCTATTCTAGTCCTTGTATTGAATCTATATATATGTTGCTTCAAATCATTCATTACCTTGTGAAGGTTTTGAAGCTAGCTTGAAAAAAAGGTCCAAAATTTTATTTCAGATAAAAAATGACATATCTTTAAAATCTTCTTGCAGCAAACAAGCTACGCAGATATGCTGGACTTGGCTGTGCAGCATATTAAAGGTCTTCAAAATGAAGTTCAGGTTTGTAAATATGTCATGCTGAGTTTCAAACATCATCATTATGATCCTCCTTCACATGATAGATTGCATTTTTGCAGTGGTAGTGGCATCGAATCTATCTATGATATGCATGTGCATGGTAGAGTACATTCAATTTAACTTCTCTTGGCCAAAAAAGTATCTTCAAGGCTTGGAATCCAAGCAGGGACGAAACTATGTGGGGATTGAGAGAGACAGAGATGGACCGAAGGGACGACCCCTAAAAATTTTAAATTTATATATATTTTAGATATTTTATTTTTATAAATTCGTCCCCCTTAAAATTTCATAAGTTGTCCCTCTTATCATAAAATTACAGGTCTGTCCTTGAAGAGAATTTCCCCCACCATAACTTTTATAGTTATTAAGTTTGTTTTTTGAAGTTAGATATTCTGGGATGATTACAAGGTAGTATTCGTTCAGAATTTTTCTTAGCCTATTAACAACTCTCATGCATTCATGTAGCTGCTCAAACTCGGGTTTTCCAGATAGAACAATATCTCCTTTTACCACACTAAGTTCAATCAATGGGTTAAAAAGTCATTGAATCAAAGTGGATAATAACGTTAAGTATAAGCATTCTCCAAATCAAGTTGTCCTAAATTTGGGGTCAGTTGTAAACTACTTTGCCTTTAGAATATGTTTAAAATGGCTTTCAACTCCAACATGTGTTTTCTTCGAGTTTATGTTTAACATTTATAACTCTCCCTTTGCAGAAACTCCACAAAGAATTGGAAACCTGTACATGCGGGTGCAAACAAAGCTTATGATGTTTGCTAAACAGGTTTAAGGAAACAAAGAACTTGTCTAATTTCCCAGTTTTGAAGCCAATACCAATTTAGCTTGCTTAGCTCGACTTAATAATGTAAAAAGTAGAGGGAAAAAACTCGAAAATGTATATAAATGGACTGACATTGTTTCCCTTGTTTGAGAAGTTATTGAATTGGAAAATGGGGAAAAAAAGGCAAATTGTTCCAAATTCCTTTATTAAAATTATGTGTCTGTCAAATAACATATGTTTTGGTTAAGAGTTCGAGTTGACATGTTTTCCCTGTTAAATTTCAGTGTCTGTCATGTAACATATATTTTGGCATTTATATTTTAGTTGGGAATGAAGAATTCTGTTGACATGTTTGGGTATTTGATTTGATATTTAGGGTTTATTTATATACATCTGTAGTGGTTTCCTTTTCGGTGTAGAAAGGTTGCAATTTAGGATTGGGGAAGGTTAAATGAAACTGCAATAATTTGAATTTCGTAATGTAATATCTGATCAAACATAACTTTTAATTATTTGATATTAAACATTTATATTCTTAGAACTCATGATGTTCAAATTCGAGACCTCAACGAATAACAATTTTTTTATCACCACCGAAATCGTTGAATCAATCGATTAAAATTATTGCATGATATAATTTGATTAAAATCAATT